CAAGCATTCTTCAAAAGTATACATGAGTTTGGTTTTTGCATCTCCGGTAAGTTATGACAACTGTACTCAACAACTAACGGGTCTGCTATCGAAATGCAACCTTACTGTCGTATGATCCCATCGACTGCTGGCGGACTGCCCTACGTGGGCTGATGGGTTTCATCCAACCAGATGTTCCCCAACACGATCAATGCTATTGATTTTGCCTAGCTAATAGCGCAAGTTATAGCCGACCAGAATCAGCGCATACGAAATGGTTCTATCGATCTTTTGCAGCGCGGTCAACCAGCAGCACACTGGGCGTACAGAATCACACAGCAAGGTCATAACAATAGGTTTTTGAGGACGATTGTTGCTTGCGTGTTCCCATACCGCCAGCGACTGGTATGAAGCAGAACCTCGTTATGATGCCGAAGCAAGTGTGGGAGCCGAACCACAAGTTTAAATATTTCCGGTAGATGAATTCAACGAAATTGTGGACTCAGACCAGACGCGTCATCGTTCGGCTTGGATTCGAACTCAAATATCCCACCGGCAGTTCGGATGATATTATTCTCGCCATGTCTAAACAACATCTTTCTCTAAATCATCACCGCTGGTTCCTATTTCGTGGAGTTCGATTTTCCGCACGAGAAAAAAACTGATTCGCACGGTTCCGAAACAGGAAGCTACCGAGATAATCAGCGACCGGGAAGTCAGGAAGTCGCGCAACTTCTCGGCATCAAGCAGGGTCTCCAATGCCGCCGCCTTTTCATTCTGTCCTGGGCTCCTTGGTATGGACGTGACAAGTTGACACACAAGTAAAAGCGACGAGGCTACTCTTTGAAGGACGCATGGGAAAATATTGACTGACGAGCTTCCGGTGAAGAAGACTCTTAGCTCAGCTGGACTTGTGGATGCACGAAGTAAGTTGTCTGAGAGGCAAGCGTCAGGTTGCCACAGCCCACTGCTCACCGCTCCATAGCTTCATCGTTGTCCACAGCCAGTAGTCACGGCCCTTGATCAACCACACCAGGAACCCCGGCAAGCGCCATCCCATCGCCGCGCCGACGCCTTTACTCTTCCCAATCGGCACCATTTGCGTTTCTCTCAGATCTTCTTTGAACACCCGGTCATCCCTGATCGCCACGTTCGGCTTCCCCGAAACAAGCAGCAGGTCCCGCTCGAGGTTGGCGCAAAGAACCGGGACGGCGCCGAGGATATTGTGGACTGCCGGCCGGGCATACGAGGACACATCCCCGATGGCGTAGATGCGCGGCCCCGCTTTGTCGACACGGAGAGTCGACGGGTTCGTTTCGACGCGCCCATCAGAGGTGAGTAGCGACGGATTGATGAACGAGGTGTTTGGGCGAGCGCCTGTTGCTGGGATGTACAGGTCCGCGCTGAGAGTCTGGCCATTTGAAAGGTTGATGGTCGCAGACATTCCGACGTTCTCAACTCCCGCTTCGTTTGGGATAACGCCTTCAACGCGAGTGTTCTTGATCACAGTGACGCCTACTTGTGCCAAATATCGCTCAGCCTTCTGAGCCAGTGCTGGGCGCAATGCGGGAAGAATCTTGGTCCCGGCCGTGACTAGCGTGATAGCCACCTTCGGCTTCCCCGGTGTCGAATTGAAGAGGCCCGCCCGACCATTGAGATACTCTCCCAGCTCTCCTGCAGTTTCGACTCCAGCCGGGCCGCCCCCTGCAATGACGATAGTCTTCGCTTGCGGTAGAGCCTTGCGAAAGTCCTCCCAGCTCTGCCGCAGACCTTCGTAGCTGCTGTTGAGTCCTAGGAGAGGAGAGGGTGTGGATGCACCGGTTGCAATGACCAAAGCGTTGAAGTCGACGTTCTCAATACCCTGGCTCCCAGCCACGGAGACAGACACAGTGCGGTTGACATGGTCCAGCGCCGTTGCAGTCCCGCACATGAAATGAAATCTGTCAGCTGGGTATTGCTGAAAGACTGTTGCGATGTAGACGAATAACTTGTCTTGGGGAAAGATGTCGTCCGATATCAAGGCGCGCGGACATGCGGGACGACACATGACATGGGATGAACTGCTGACCAGGACGACCTGGTAGCCTTCCTCAGCCGCCAGGTCCGGAATAACATGTCGCAAAAGATAGTGAGCCGTTGAGACGCCGCCGTATGACCCGCCGAGAATGACGATGTTCTGCTTGGGCGAGTTGCCGTTTCGAGACATCTTCAGCTGTGCCAAAAATGGGATGCAGTTGCTGGAATGACGGGGGTTTTAAATGAATGGGTGGAATGAAGCGTTTGCAAAACTGCCGACCCAAATAATTGTAATTCAATGGAGCCAAAGAGACCCTTCCTATTTGTACTACTCTTTAATATTTCCTGCGGACCAATTCGGACGGATGAGGGTATCATGGTGGTGAAGGATTGCTGATGTGGCTTGCGCCACCGTCATGGTTCGGCCGAGCTCCGGACGAACAGACATCACTACATATTCTATCATTGTCGAATACTGGACTGTGACAACTGAAATGACAACTCATTCTCGAGAACGTATCATTTGGTCTAGATTGTTGGTGGTATTATTGGCTGTGTATTCCGACATTTGAGGCTTGGAGACAAGTGGAGGAAGTTAGTGGGGGATATCGTTAATATCAGTTTAGTTTACATCAATGGTCTGAATTGAGTTATCACCTCGTGAATTATGGCGTTGTTAGTCAAAGGGCCCTCGAAGGGTGGTCGTTGTCAAGTCTATGCGGTAGACAGCGAAAGATTGGATATTAAGGTAGGATAAAATGAATGTTGTTTTATACAGTGGATATATCCAGGTCCGACTGCTAGATGAATCCAATGGTATACCGTAATTCTCTTCCAGATATAGTAGCGTTTTATCATGTCTAAACATACTGGTTTTCACCCTATTAAAGCAAATAACACTTACCGCCAACCCTTCTTCCGTCGAGGGTTGATGAATTGTGACCAACGCCAAGAAACCCATCCGGTGCTTGCTGCTGTGCCGCCACAGTACAGATACCACAAGACCGCGTTCCAACAGAGATCCTTGTCTGATGCCTGGTGTTCGTCGACGGCATACTATTTGAAAGTTGGTATGCCGCCAACGGGTATTCGCATGTCTCCTCATCCTCCTCATTCCATCTCCTCGGCTGTTCACCCGTCCGAAACATCGCCAGTGTTTGCTCGTTCAATCAATTTCTCAACAGCTTCACGGGATACTATCATGCATCGCCGGCCAGTCGCGCATCCAGGCGGACCTACTCACCCCCCGGCCAGCACAATCCGTTGTGGTAACGCCCGGGCACCTCCTCCGCCCGACCCCGACCACACCTCCCCAAACGCCCCGCGCTTCGAGATTGTCACAACGCACATTCACGTCTTCGGCTACCCTACAGACCAAGGTGACGGGGTGAATGTCGTGGCGCTCGAGGACGTCTCAGCCATTGACCTGGCCTTTCTTTCTCTCCCATACGAGCCTCTGAACAACTCCATCTGGCAAGCCTCACACAAGGACCCGTTTTATAGTCGTCCGGCCGTTTACTTGCGCTTCAGCGACCCCGTCCGACTCCCAGACCAAGACGCCGAGAACGAGTTCTGCAGGCGTTTGCTCCGTCTTGGGGCGCGGCGGTGGGAGTCTCTTGACCGGTTCCGGTTCGTGCTAGGGGCTATCAACTACGACGACCTTGTCATCGACGAGATAGAGGGCGGGTTTGCATCAGTTCCGACGTCTGAGGAGCGTCGTTGGGTGTCAGTGGCGTGGCCTGCTGGGGGCGGTGTCTGCATTGCTGAGATACCGCGACGGCTGCCTGACTTTGGGGAGCATGAGGAGTTTTCTGCGAGGGAAAATCTGATTTTGGAGCGCAGATCGATCTTGAGGATGGCGCGGAACATGGATGAGAAGGCGAGTATGTTGTTGGAGACTTTTGAAGGGAGGATGTATGAAAATGTGGATGAAGTAGATAGTCGAGTCATTCGAATTTCGGATCTTAAAGAGTTTCAGAAGTCTTCCGAAGCTGGAGAGGACTTAGTTCATCAGACAGGGTTAGGTGCATTGTCTCTTGACGATAGTTCGGAGAAGTGAAATCCTAACAGACAAGTCCTACATTCACTACGTCTAATCCACAAGTTGAGAATTCCTATTTGGTGAGCTAGTAATTACTGTCTCTAGCTCTTGGCCGTCTTTCATCGTTGCCCTATGGGCCCTCAACGTGACTGTCTATTCTCGTTAACCTGCAGGTCCTGGCTGCTTTAGAAGTTGGTTTTCTTGACACATTTTCTGAGGAATATAAGTTCTGAACAGTTGCTCAGAGTCGAAAGTGATCTTTCTTAGGTGTTGTCAAAGTCATGCCAAGTTACAAGCATAAGCCTCCGACTATTGAGACTCAGTGAGACGTCAGTGGGCCAGTCTTGAGACTGCATGAGTCCAGACTCTCCGAAACCCAGACTGTAAAGTCTGAGCCAAGTTGACAACTGGAGAATCGACAAAAGTTGCCAGGATCATGACAGTCAAGAAAAAGCTCTCACCCACGTGTCTGAGTTCAGTCGGCGACTCGGGGAACGCCGAGGGGGACGTGGCCCGTCAAGGTAGCGGGCGATGAGGTAATGGGAACCCGCTGCTGCGCTCCCTTTGGAGGGGCAACGGTTCAGAAAAAATTCCTATGCCCGCTAGGGGGTGGCGGCGGTGTGGAGTTTCGGTGCTGGGGCCCCTGTCTTGCGCCGAGCGTCAGCGCTGTTGCGCGCTGCACTGAAGCGGCAGGTCGCAGGCTGGTTGGCCGCTGGTAGGCAGGTCGGGCCACGGCGGTTGAGGCAGGTGGGCGGATATCTTCGGCGTTGGCGGGGTCATTTTTCATTCTCGCACCATCCCACCACAAGGATTGCGTTTCTCTTTTCGGCTTCGTCAGACCTGCGTCCGTGGGCTGAGAAAGTGTTCTTCTTTTTCGTTTCCTACCTCTTTCTCTGTTGCGACTTTCTTTCTTTCATACCCTAAACAACCATCCCGAATACCCACGATCCCTCAATCCGCAATCATGGGCGACATCAAGTCCATCAACGCCACCAGAGTGGCCGTCACCGCCCAGTCGGCGACTGAGCTGATTGGCAACACGCCGCTCGTTCGTCTAAACAAGATCCCCCAGAGCTTGGGAATCGAGGCCGAGGTGTACGCCAAGGTCGAGCTCTTCAACGCCGGCGGCAGCGTCAAGGACAGAATAGCCCTGCGCATGATCGAGGAGGCCGAGAAGAGCGGCCGCATCAAGCCCGGCGACACCCTCATCGAGCCCACCAGCGGCAACACGTACGTCTGCGCAGCATTGCCCTCCCTCTGACCCTCCAAAGCTCACACATTTCTCTCCAGTGGTATCGGCCTGGCGCTCGTCGGCGCCATCAAGGGCTACAAGACCATCATCACCCTCCCCGAGAAGATGTCCGCCGAGAAAGTCTCCGTCCTCAAGGCCCTCGGCGCCACCATCATCCGCACCCCGACCCAGGCCGCCTGGGATAGCCCCGAGTCGCACATCGGCGTCGCCCGCCGCCTCGAGAAGGAGATCCCCAACGCCCACATCCTCGACCAGTACGGCAACCTCGACAACCCGCTCGCCCACGAGTTCGGCACCGCCGAGGAGATCTGGAACCAGACCAACGGCGCCATTACCGCCGTCGTCGCCGGCGCCGGCACCGGCGGCACCATCACCGGCATCGCCCGCGGCCTCAAGAAGCACAACAAGAACATCAAGGTCATCGCCGCGGACCCCCACGGCAGCATCCTCGCGCTGCCTGAGTCGCTCAACCAGGAGCACGTGAACGAGGGCTACAAGGTCGAGGGCATCGGCTACGACTTCATCCCGGACGTGCTGGACCGCGAGATCGTCGACAAGTGGTACAAGACCGAGGACCGCGAGTCGTTCCAGCTCGCGCGCCGCCTGATCGCTGAGGAGGGTTTGTTGGTCGGCGGCAGCTCCGGCTCCGCGATGGCGGCCATGGTCCGCGCCGTCAAGGACCTCGGCCTCGGCAAGGGCGATACCGTTGTTGTCGTGCTGCCCGACAGCATCCGCAGCTACCTCTCCAAGTTCGCCGACGACGACTGGCTGGCCGCGAACGATCTCCTGCCCGAGGTCAACGGCCTCGAGACGCAGGCCTCCTCGAACAAGCCCGAGACGACGGACCCCTACCACGGCGCGACGATCCGCGCGCTGCGCTTGAAGCCCGTCATGACCGTCTCCGCGTCCAGCCCCGTCTCCGAGGCGTCCGAGATCATGCGCGACAAGGGCTTCGATCAGCTTCCCGTCCTTTCTGCGACGGGCAACAAGCTCGTTGGTCTGGTCACGCTCGGCAACCTGCTCAGCTACGTGTCTTCCGGCCGCGCGTCCGCGAGCAGCCCCGTCAGCGACGTCATGTTCGACTTTGGCCGCCTGGACGAGGTCGTCACGGATCCCAGAGAGATCGCCGGCGGCGAGGCCAAGGAGAAGGGCAAGAAGCGCAAGTTTGTCGAGATCACGCTCGACACGCCGCTGTCGACGCTCAGCAAGTTCCTCGAGTGGAACAGCGCGGCGGTTGTTACCGAGAAGGGCGAGGGCAACAAGGCGCTTTCGAAGCCTGTGGCGGTCGTCACCAAGGTCGACCTGCTCACCTGGGTTGTGAACAAGAAGGCGTAGATGTTATCTTTTTCCCCTTCATGATGATGAAATGGATTCGATAGAGTGGGGCAAAAGACACGCGAGGAGGGATGATGGGATTTTGTTTTTATTAACGGCGTTTGGAAGCGAGCATCGCGGTGGCAGGGGCGAATGTTGGGTCGCATCAACTGACCCCGGTTTGGCAGCATTGGCTTGGAAGTCTCGGATGGGTAGACTCAACATCTACATACAACAGGGCAGCCTGATCAATGGATAGAATAACAGTATGCGCATTTTTGAACCCAGCTCTTTCTTCTCCGTATCATGCTTGTCACGTTTTTGAAAGACGCTCTTTTTGCTCAAAATCATGTAATTGTATTATTATGTGCCCCTCTCGGCGATGATTATTATACCCGCTCGGCGATCCAAGACCACCACTTGTCGGCTCCGGGTCCGCTTCCAGACACGTTGCCCGCGACAACGTCAACCTCGACATCGAATTCGCGCAGCTGATCGAAGGTGAACTTCTCAGTGCCATATGCGCCCAGCCAGTCGTCGTGCTCCTCAGAACCAATATCATCAATACCGACGCCAGAATCCAACAGGCCCTTGCTGCGCGAAGCACGGATGCGGGTGATCTCCGCCTCCAGACTCGTCTTGACAAGCGCGCCGGGCAGCGCAGTGAACAGATCGACCTTGTTCGCGGCCACCAAGACGGGGATCGGCGCGGGGGGCTTGGAGGTCTTGCTCGAAGAGGCGCGCTTCTGCAGACCAAGCAGAACATCGTAGAGGTAGCTGGCGGACGGGGCGAGGACGTCCTGCTCGCTGATGGCGGCGGCGTCGACCATGTAGACGATGGACTTGAGCTTGGACTTGTCGTTGGCGCTGCCGGCGAGCTTCGCCATGGCGAAGTTGCGCAGCTTGCCGTGGCCGGGGGTGTCGACGAGGAGGAACTTTGTATGGGTGCCGCTGGTGTCGTCGTGGTTGCGGAAGCTGGTCTTGGTCTTGCTGTCGCGGGAGGCCGTGAGCTCGACGGTCTTGGGGCGCTGGGAGGTGTGGGTCGCCGCGGGGGTGTCGCCGCGCTCGAAGAGGGTGAGGAGGGCGGTCTTGCCGGCGCCGGAGGGGCCGAGGAGGAGCACGGAGGGGAGGGTGGTGTAGGGCGTCGACTTGACGAGGATGAAGTGCAGCAGGATGGGGAAGAGGAGGACGATGGCGACGCCGATGAGGATGACGGGGGCGGAGGGCGTCATGATGTGTTCGAAGAACTCGACGAAGGAGCCCGTGTTGGCTGCCATGATTGCGGTCGTTTGGCCTCTGGGGACAGGAGGCGTGGGGAGGGGGATCGTATCGAGTACGAGGCGCGCGAACGGCCGACTGTTGGGGGAAGATTGACGATGTTTTAGTCGTGGTCGTTGACAGATTTCCAGAAGGAATCGCGTGCCAATGCCATGCCGTCGGTGGAGTGGAAGGCGTCTGGTGGAGCTTGTCTCTGTCCACGTCCCCCTTTGGGTTAGACCCGTTGAGCTGTCTTCTCCAGCCACACTTGCGCGCCTGAGTGACGAGGCTGAGGGTGGCCGAGGAACCCGACCAACCAGGGCCCTCATGCGTGACCGATGCCAAGCTTTGGGGCGCTGTCACCCTGCCATCCAATGACGGCTACGACGGCAGGTGACGGGTGGGCCGCCTCCTTTGTCAGCTCAGCCTCGCTAGTCCGATTTAGGGGGAGGGTCCCCGGCGATCTCCTTCTGACCTCTTTCTTAGTGGAAAGCGCCCCCAGTCTTCAACGCTGCTGCCGAGTGAAGTGTTGCTGGAGCTGACGACACGCAATCTCGTCCCCTTGGCTTCGGTGCCTTTTCCGCTCCGTCGTTTCTTTTCGCCTCGACCGTTGTGCGTCTTGCGTTGTGTCTCTTTTTTATTCCCACCTTCGAGACCCCTGGCCTTGTATCTTTTTTTTTACTACCGTCGTCGCCTGGACCATCAACCTTAACGAGCAATGCGACGCTAAGATCGATCCGAAAAGCTTCCGTCTGCCGAATAGATACCTCCCCCCGTCCTCCCGTCGCATAAACCAGCGTCCACTCCTTCGATAATCTCCCCGTCCTTCCGAGCCCACAACCACACAATCGCGCCAAGCTTGGCCCCCGACCTCGATGGACAAGTCAACGACACCAGGAGGCGGCGCCGCAGCTGCCTCTGTCGCCCCAAACCAGCCCGCCAACAAGACCAGTGCCGTCGCGCCGACATTAAACAACGAGGTCGAGATGGGAAACATGGGCGGCGATGCGCCAAACGCAGAGAACGACATCATGCAGATTGCCAGAGTTGGAGACGTCCCGGCCATGGAGAAGCTCTTTGAGGCCGGCGAGTACGATGCGACTTTCTCAGACGACGAGGGCATCACCCCCCTCCATGTACGTTTCCATGCAGCCTCCCAGCGTCCACTCTTTGTGCCACCTTTGACCGCATCACATGGCGCTAACGGCTCCTAGTGGGCAGCAATCAACAACCAGTATGCCATGTGCAAGTTCCTCATCGACAACGGCGCCGAGATCAACAGGAAGGGGGGAGAGTCAGTAGCCACTCCCCTCCAGTGGGCCGCCCAGAGATGTCACTACTACACCGTCAACCTCCTCCTCCAGCATGGCGCCGACCCCCTCATCACCGACGCCCAGGGCTACAACACCCTCCACATCTCGACCTTCAACGGCAACACGCTGCTGCTCGTCCTCCTCCTCCACCAGGGCATCCCCGTCGACGTCCTCGACAGTTATGGGCACACGGCCTTGATGTGGTCTGCCTACAAGGGCTTCCCGCAATGCGTCGACCTCTTCCTGCGCTGGGGCGCGAGCGTCCACACGACCGACGAGCAGGGCTTCACCGCGCTGCACTGGGCGCTCGTCAAGGGCTCCCCCGCGTGTATACAGAGACTACTCGAGTACGGCGCCGACCGATTCGCAAAGACGCAGACCGGCAAGACGCCTGCCGTGACGGCGAAGGAGCTTAACACGACCAACGCGTGGCATCGCGCCTTGAAGGAGTGTGGATATGACGAGGACGCGCAGCCGATCGAGCCGCATTTCCCTGGTGCGCGCTTCCTCCGCCAGGATAAGAGGGGATTCGTCACCAAGTTCCTGTTCCTCTGGCCGTTCGTGCTGGTGTGGTCTATCATCACCATACTGGGGAGCATGCCGGTGTATGCGGGCGTGTTCTTCGCGGTGATAGTGGGATACAGCATCCAATGGTGCGCGCAACAGGTCATTGAGTTTGCGCCGCCTGATATGAAGCACTTCCATAAGACTGTGAGTGTCTTTGGTCTCTCATGCGAGATTAATGCTGACGATTGCAGCCCTGGTTGGCAGGTATCTTTGCCGCTTCCGTGTTCTGGACTGGCCTTAGATGGCTGACGACCGTCTTGCCTGGCACCACTGGATCTGCCGCCACTCAGTCTCACTGGTGGTTGAACTTGCTCTTTGGAACTTTCCTCGGCCTTACTGCCTACTTTTATGCCGCCGCTATGCGCTACGACCCCGGCTTCGTCCCCAAGATGAATGGCATCGCCGAGCAGAAGGCCGTGATTGATGAGCTGCTTAAGCTGTGGAAGTTCGATGAGTCCAACTTCTGTGTTACGTGCATGATCAGGACCCCTCTCCGCAGCAAGCACTGCAAGCGTTGCCAGAAGTGTGTCGCGAAGCACGACCAGTGAGTTTATCCATATGTCTTGTAGTAAAACTGCTTACTGACTTCCTTAGTCACTGCCCTTGGGTCTACAACTGTGTTGGCGTCAACAACCATCGCCACTTCTTCTTGTACCTCATCAGCTTGACCTTGGGCATCATCTCCTTTGACTTCCTTGTCTACTACTGTAAGTGGCTCATGCCTCACCCTCAGATCCGCGATCTAACTCTCGCACAGACCTTTCCGACATCTCAGCCAAGGCTTCCGACAGCTGCAACTTCCTTAGCCCTGGCCTCTGCAAGGTCGTCAACGCGGATGGCTACACCGCGATCCTCACCGTCTGGGTCTCCCTCCAACTCACCTGGGTCGGCATGCTGCTCTTCGTTCAGTTCGTCCAAGTCTCCCGCGCGATGACTACCTACGAGAACATGTTCGGTATTCAGGACGGCTCCGTCACCTCCGCCTTCACCTCGACTGGCACTCCCCTCGACCCGAACCACCCGTCCCTCGCAACCCCCGAGACCCATGGCCATGGCCACGCCCACAAGCACAAGGGCGGTCGCCTCCAGCAATGGGCCCGTCTTCTCGGCGTCGACCCCTTCATCGAGACCATCCGCGGTCGTGGCGCCGCCACCGGCAACAAGCGCAGAAAGAAGAACCCCTACTCCAACGGCTGCATGGTCAACTGCCGCGACTTCTGGTGCGATCCTGCGCCTACCTTTGGTCCTCGCGAGAACGGTTCGGCTATGCTGGCTGGTGAGCCCATCAACTACACGGCAATGTACGAGAGCCCATCTCTCATGAACATGAGCCGTGGACGACGCAGAGCGGGTGGTTACGAGTCAGTCGCCGGCGAGGAGGTGTAATAGAATTGCTTGCTCGTTTTCAAAGATTGGCCAGCGCGCGAAATTTGAGTTCAGAGAAGGTGGATAAACAAATCCATTATTCCCATGGGTTGAGGGGGGTTTATATGGTGTTGAGAGTTCATTTTCAGAAGCGAGCCGGGACGAAAAGACGGATTGATGATGATCAAAGGAGAAGAGTGAGACAAATGTTCCCCACGAAAAGAAAGAAGACGCGGCGTAATGGCACTGCTGCATGGCTTCCTTTGCGAAATGTGTATTATTGGGTACATGTAGAAGGTATGACTTTGTTTTTTATTCTATGCTGTTATAGGTGTTGAAGGGCTTTCGACTTGTTTTCTGGTGGTGGTAGTGGTGAGGTGTAACGAGTCTCGGGCGATGGAGATTTCTAGTAAAACTGAGGGAAGGAGGGAAGGATATATGCGATTACGCTTTACAGATATGGGTTGGAGATGGATGGACCAGTCACTGTATATCGCGGTGCGTGGTCTATGCATCTCTCTAACCCATATCTGTAAAGCGTAGTCGGTGTATGTATCATTTCCCCCTTTCTGAGTTTTCATGGGGATGAGGGGAGGGGTGTAATGATGGGGCGGGTAGATTTCAATATATTGGGCTTTGCCTCAGGTTCGTGTTTCTGTCTTTGCGATAACGAATACCTATGTTCAATGATGGTTCATGTTGGCTTGGTTTCGGGATGCAAGAGATGGAACGTTTGGATTGCCGTGAGATGCATGGATCAAAACACAAATGAGTTATTTGCCACGATTCATTGATCGTATGTTTTATGACATGGTTTCACACAATTTCTCTACTGAATATGGGTGGTATGGTCATTTAGAGTTCCAGATTAGAGAAGAGATGGTGTAGAGACTGAGACCGAACGTGTCTTTGCCAAGTTAAGATTATTGACAGCCTAAGACGCCTGCCTAGGTGGAATGGCCAGCGATGGAGGCTAAACCCTGACGAGATGGAAAGGAAACAGACGCTACAGGCGCCAAAGAGAGTGAGAATGAGCTGCGTATATGCAGAAAGTACAGCCAATCGATACGAAATTCCCGTTCAATAGGGCTCACGCCATTCCCAACCCAGATCAGGGTAATCGTCGGGGACATTGTTCCCCGAACGATGTGAGTCCACGTCGGGTGAACCTCTGTTGGATCCAAGAGCATAAGGTTCAAGAGCATAAGGTTCGAGAGCATATGCCATCGCATCTTCAACTGAAGTATCATTAAGGCTCTAGTCGACGTTAGTGCTAATCTTAGAGGCTGGGCGAAGCAAACGTACCTTTTTGTCCATAGCGGCGGCGAGGAGCTTATCTGCGAGCTTGACGATATCTGTATAAGATTTCTTCTCTCCGGCACTTCTTAACTGTATAAGGCTTTCTATCCCAAGATTTGTTTTTGGGTATGACAGGATCAAGAGGGCAATTGGCTGCTGATGACGTTGCATTGCCAGGTTGCATGCAAGATGCGAAGTGATCTACAGCCTGCCAGTCGCAAGCAAGATTTTCAATGTCTGTTCAGCGTTCTGCCACAATTCTGGCAAGCCTGTTGGAGAGGTCTTTACAACGCAGTTGTAGACGTAATCGCTGCCTTCTTTAAAATCAAACCCGTTTTGAAGCAGAAGGTCCAACATGGAAGCGTTTTGCCGGTCACACGCTTCCATCAATGGATCACTTGGGCCGTCTTCCATGTCTGTCTCTTGATTGAAATCGTAAGAGTTGACGAGAAGCTATGCAATCTCCAACTGACCTTTTGCCACTGCCTTCATCATACCAATCCGAATACCCGAATCAGTAAAGTCTGACGCTTTGACATATGTCTCAAGAATCAAGTTTGTTATCTTGATATTGCCCTTGGCACAGGCCCGGGCTAGTGGAGTGCAAGAAGACATGAAATCAACTGAAGCAAAGTTTTTGGTTTTTAGCCGGAATGATGCCAGCTTCCCAACGGTTGCGCCCCGCTGTATGAGGAATTTGCATACTTCGTAGTGGTCGCCATCTGCCGCCAGCCACAAAGGGATGCGATAGTAGGATGGGTAATCTGGCTGATTGTTATCGATGTCAGCTCCGTCATCGAGCAGTTTTTTGACAACATTCAAGTCCCCGGCACTTGCTGCGTCCCTAAGCTCTTGGGCTTGGCTAGTAGTCGAAGGCGTATCAAGCCTCTTTTGCCGTGGAAAGCGGAATTTGATCGGCAGATTTGAGTGATGATCTTTCAGATTTCTGTCGAGTGCTGCGTGAGATTCAAACCCGAAGGTATGCCTGACGCAGTCTTCCTCGTTGCAGTAAAAAGGCCGGTTGTGGTGATTGATATGGTTTGTCCTGTCTCGTTTTGTCATGAAGCCTTCTGAAAACATGTCGCAGTCGGGTTTGGGGCATTTGTATCGATTAATGGGCCCATGCAGACTGTCCAAAATATCCCTCTCTTCATCTGTAAGATCATGCAGATCTTCGATCTCTTGTCGGATCCAAGACGTTCGCTGCTCAATATTAAGCATCGATGTTCGCTCATAGCCGTCTCGCGGAAGTATGTCTGCCAACGTTTTCAGACATAATTGCGATTCGTCTTGCTCCGTAATCTCTACAGAGGTGGCGTATTCTTCGAAGAAGGCTCGGGTTAGACGCGTTGCCCTGCTCAGCTCTTGTGTGATTTGAGGGTGTAGTGCCTGAGTCGTCTGCACCACGTTTCCCAGGTATCGAAGATGGTCATACCAGTGTGCAACCGTATAGTCTTGCAGTGAATAACATGCTTGTTTAGCATATGTCAAAACTACCTCCGACTGATTACTTTGGCAAAAGGGTGAAGAAATCAGATACTCTGCGCAGAACGATAGGAGTCTTGCGTTCTCCAAACAGTCATTGATGAGCTTCTTCTGGATGAGATATCTGTCAAATGCCATTAGCATCAAGTCCTCCTATGCTTTCCATTCAGCTCTTACCTTTGAGCCGTATAATGAACAATTCGGACGACACTCTCAGGCTCGCTCATCCGTCCATTTACTTGATGGAGGTCTACGAGCGATCCACACAGCTCTTTAGCACCGACTAATAGCTGCTTGTTAGGGTCGATCGTCCCTTCCTTGCTGTCAATACAGAAAAATGCCTGTATTTCTCTCCATCTCAAGTCGCGTTTTGCTGCAACAATGAGAGAGATGACCTTCCTGGCAGCGACAGTTTCCGACTCGTACCCTGCTTCCAGTACAGATGTGGCGATTCTTTGGTATCTGAGCTGCGTCAGTTATAGAGAATGATACATCGTGGAATGAGGTATCTTACGCAGTTTCCAGTTTGTCCGGAAATACGTCGGGACTAATTGCGTTTTTGAGTTCTATGAGGCTCACCTGGCGAAAATAATAGTCCAAGACGACTCGAGCGTATAAAAACATTCCTACATGAAGTCAGCATAGGTATTGACGACGGGGATGTCATTGCATTTAGTACCTTGAGCGCCTTTTGTGACTAAAAAGGCAATGTGGGCTTCGAGATCCTTTTTAAGCCGGAACCTCTTCTGCCGTTTCGAAGCGTACTGCAAACAGTACCTCTCGATGTCTGCATTATGCTTTGTAGATTCCAGACGAATGTTCGGAAAATCGGACAGAACATTGTCCAAGAGACCATCTCGTTGGCCAGAGAAAATTATTCGTAGACTGGTCTTGTCAACGTACTTGTCATGCCCGAGAAGCGAAAGCAGCCACGCCACCGTACGCGTAGCTTGTTCACGGTCACATTCATCCAAGCCGTCAAGAATCAAGTAGGAGACTCGATATTCTTCTAAAGATCTCTCAGTTAGTGCCTCTAGAGACTCCCTCGACCGAATAGTGACATCAGCCTGCTTTGAGAAATCTTCGAAGAACTCCTGCGAAGACGTCATGTTCTGGCTGATCAGCTGAGTCAGAATGGCTCTTAGAAAGCTTTCATGACTGCTTCTTTCGTCATCTCCGTGTTTGAAGTAAAAGTACGACACAGAGGCAGGGGGTGACTGATTGGGGCTGTGGACTTCCAAGAGTTTGCTGATGATTAAAGAGACAAGTGTCGTTTTTCCTACGATGAATCCGTTGTCAGTAAGTCACCCATGAGTGTTCGGTGTCATCTGGCGACTTACCAGCTCCAGGTATGCCGTTGATGTATAGAACTGAGTGGTTAAGAGCGTTTGCATCAGACCAGGACAAGTACTCCGGTTCTTCAAAGATCCATTGGCCGCTGTCATCTCCATTTCTTCTTTGGGTTGCAATCTCTTGATCAAGGAAATATTCAGGCGCGCGAAGCTTATCTTTGATCAGCGCCATTCTAGAAAGGTGCTTCTCCCGTGTCTCCTCGTTGGCAGTCCTGATTTGGTCTTGGTACATATCGCTAATTTGCCTCCGAATAATGTGGATCTGGTCAAGTGAAGCGGAGAGTTTGACACTCTCCAATAGCTCCCCCCGATGCACCAGACTCTTCATGATGGGATCGAACTGCGTGTTGAAAGTCTTCCATGTGGCATGGAAGATGTCTTTCCACTCTTTCCTAAGTGTTAGTGTCTAGGACTTCATTCAAGATGAGGGAAAACTTAACTCGAACGGGCAAAGACCTTGATGGCTGCTTCGTGGAATTTCAAGATGTCAGAATAGTAATCCTGCAGAACGACTCTGAGAGGCTCATGCTGTATAAACATGTCTTGGTAGAATAAAAGACCAGGCATAACGTCCCCCATCTGGGCAAATACGTCAAGCAGCTTGTCGAAATTGTCGAGATGAGTTTTTGCGATCTGGTCATTCAACTGTCAGCTGGAAGATGACATTGCTAATGTCGTTGCTTGATCGGATATATACTCCTAGTAAAAACTTCATTGGACCCTTATCATATGCGGCATCAATTTAGCCAAAAACACCATCCAGAATGTTACTTGGATCAGCAAGCTTACCCAGATAAAGCAGACGAGATCATTTGCATTGACGAACACCTCGATCACCTGTCCGAGCTGGTTCATAGCTTCGACGAACTTCTGAAGCCGCGGCAA